ATTGTTTTGCTTTTGTTTTTTTCAGGGATAAAGATAGTTTTCATGTGGTTGCACGTTTTCTTGCTACAGGGAAATATATTTAATGGTGCAAAGTATTTTCTCAACCTCAGGAAAATATTTCTACAGCTGAAAGTTTTAGTACTGGATTTTTGCCCCACTCTACTTTCATCCTTTTTTCTTTTTTCTCTCCCCAAAACACATTTGTGTTCCTCTGGTTTCCAGCTTGGCCTCTTTCAAAACTAACATAATTTTCAGCCTGCCACCTGTCCTTAAGCCCCTCCTCAAGTTTGTGTATATTTCCCATTCATGAGGATTTTCCAGTATTTCTCTGCTTGCTTTTTTTTTTTTTTCTGAATGAAAATTTGAACCATTCCCGTGAGTTGTGTCACTGAATACCACCAAGAAGAGACCAGCACTTCCCTCTCCACTTTCCCTCCTCAAGAAGCTGCAGAGAGCAATGAGGTCCTCCCTCAGCCTCCTTTTCTCCTAACTAGGCAGACCAAGAGTCCTTTAGCCACTCTTCACAGGACATGCCTTCCAGCCCTTCCACCAGCTTTGTTGCTCCCCTCTGGATACATTAAAGGACCTTCACATCCTTCTTAAACCATTGTCACAGAACTGCCCACAATACTCAAGGTGAGGCAGCACTGACTCAGTACAATGCAGCTCTTCACCCTACTGTCAACCAGCACACCCAGGTCTCTCTCTGCAGGACTGCTCTCCAGCCACACCTCTCTCAGTTTATACTTGTGCCCAGCATTACTCCACCACAGGTACTGAATCCAGCATTTGTTTGTGTTAAATTTCACACAGCTCGTGACTGCCGAGTGCTCCAATCTATTCCGATCCTTCTGCCAGGCCTCTTGTTGAATTCAAGAGAATGAAAACCAAGCTCTTGGACCCAGTTTCCTCATTTACATTCACTGACTCGTATTCAAGCTCAAGCTCCAACGTATAATCTGCATTCATAGTCCATAGAAAAGTCACATAGTTACATTTACAAGATGCACTGTCTCTAAACAGATAAATGTGAGCTGTCTTCCATGTTTGATCACTTGAGTAAAAGAACTTCCTTTACACAACAGACTAGTAACATACCAGTGTAAACCACAAAGGTTAAAACCCTATGTTACCACTTCCTGTGTTCCTCTGGGCAGAAAGCTGCTCTTTGTATTTTAAAACACTCCTGAAGTGTTTAAACTTAAGTCCTGCTACTTCAAAGAATAACTGATCTGTCTTCACTCATGTGTGGCATCTTTCTCTTGAGAGAAAGCCAAAAAAAACTGAGAAAAACATCTTACTTGAATTGAGGCTATTTCTGCTGTGCTGAATCTTTTCAGTCTTCACACCAAATATTCACAATGCTTATGTACATTTTAAACAAAGACTTTGAGCACGCGTTATTCCCATACATTTGGGATATGTAAAATCTGAAATTTCATTTTCTTTTGTTGTTTTTTGTGTGTGTCTGTGTCTGTCTTCCCCTCCATTTATTGGTTTTCTGTTTGTGGTTTGTTTGGTTTTGTTTTGGTATTTTTTATTTAATTGCTTTTAAATGTAACTAATTTCTTAGAAGTTAAAGATTAGTTTTCCCTAATCTTGACTGAATAAGAGCACAAAAAGGCTTAAAGCTTGTCTAATTGGCATTGTGTGTAAAAGACAGAATCTACATGTTCCTTAATATATTTAAGCTTCTGTTTAATACTCAGGCACCACAATTCCTCTCACCAAATTCCTTTTTGTAATTACAGTCCTTGGGGCAAGGCAATCATATTTATGATGTCATTAAAAATTATAAGACTCTGATGAACAAAGAAATCGTCTGATATATGAGACAATAGAACTATCAAACATGAAAGACTATCTGCTTGGAGATAGACCATCTTGTGAAGTAGAGCCAAAGATGACAGATTATCTTTCTGTGTCGCTCCTTGAACAGATGAGGGAACTCACTTGGGTATTTCACATTTTTTTTACATCCATCTAGTAAATCTGTGTAAATCTTGCTTTCATTCTGTTAACTGTGCAGGATTCATTAAAGTGAAGGATTCTAAAGAGTTATTACCAAGTAGTTCTTCTAGAAATACTTGTGAACCCCATCTCAGCAGAAAAATTGGAAGATAGGTGCATACCTTTCAGAACGCAAACAGAAGCTGGTAACTGTAGGAAATCGAGAGTAGAGGCCAGTACATTAACTTCTTCCTGTACAGTAGAGCTATATGGTGGACATTTGCTCTTGCAAAGTGTACACATATCAGAGACTTGGATGACATACGTGAGCACCAAAGGATGTAAATGGAAATAATGCATTAGAATTAAAGAAAAAAGCTAAAAATGGACAATGAGACTGTTAGGTGGCAGTTGCCAGCACAGTTGATCTGCTGTAGGGTTTTTCTGAGGTATATGTAGTATTTGGCAGAAGGCAAAATAAGAATGAAGGTATTCAGATATCTGTACTGTGCTTGCATTAGTAACTTTTCAGGTATTAACAGGCTTGCATTTGATTATCTTTTGATTAGAAAATGAGATTTCTACTCTAATTCCTACAGAAAACAAATACACACTGACATGAGGATTAACTTATAAAACTTTTCTGTATTTGATGTCTATGATTCTTTGAACACAAGTGTTTTATAAAATATTCAAATAAGACTTAGTAAATAAAATATTACAGTCCTAATGTACCCTGCAGCTTGAGACATGTAGTATGATTTGCCAAACAGGGAACAAATAACCAGAAGGTATTCCAACTTTCTAACTATTTCCCAGCTATTTGTTATGAATCCAAAATATCTAGAATAGAAAAACAGAAATAGAAATTTAATAAGTATTAAACTCTTACCTCTAGTCAAAATATATCAACAGCACAGTTTTACTCTAATACATGTTCATAGATGAGTAATGTAGGTATTTCCTGCATTATTTCGTTCAGTTCTAATCTAAAAAAAATAGGTCTTTTCTGGATGTTTGCTATAATTTTTCTAAAGCATAATAAATCAACCCCCATTTGGGTAAAAAAATAATTTGGATGTAAGTTGTGAGCTAGTTCAGTTTCTTTGTCACCTTTTCATAGGAACAAAGTCACCTACAAGTCAGAAAACAGATCTGTCATCTTCCACAGTAGAGCTAAGTTGGGAAAAGGGATGCATTCAGCACAAGCAGGAGGAGGAGAACTGCACTGAAGTTGGAGGCATGTATTTAAGTTACCAGTAAATTCAGAATGTCATAGTGCTTCCCTGTATTGAAATTCAGTAGCAGTTGGCAGTTATTGCCCAGGTCCAGATGGTATGTAGTCATTGAAATCCTCCTTCGTTCTCTGTGCTCCTCTCACAGAGGCCAGTTTCAATTATGCATTTGAAGCAGTGCAGGGAAATCTGTCTTCTTGTGCCTTAAGACAAACCTCCCTCTGAGGAGTCGGAGAGGACCAAGGCCCCTGTGGTGGCAGGGTAGACCATATCTTAGCTTGGCTTGCTGCCTTCCCCTTATGCATTTGATTGCTGTCTCAAGAAGTTGCTTCTTTCCTGTTTTGCCTGTGTAGGATGTTCAGAAGAGCATAGCAGGAATCTTTGCAGCCTGGCACCTCATGTTCTTCAGTGCATTGCACCTTCCAGCTTCCTCTCTGACACAGCTGATGTATTCTTGACTGCCTTCCACCCTTGTTGCCCAAAACTTTCAAAGATCTATTAATGACTACATGACTGAAGGAGACCTAGAACTCCACTGACCGGGGCAACGGCTAGCCGTGGTTTCCTGGGGTGAAAATATTGACACTAATAATGCAAGATTCTTAAATAATTCTCTTTTTCAAAATTGATAGATTTTTCTAGCTCTGGATTGCAGAAATAACAGAAAAATAAAACTGTTGCTCTATGCTATAATTTATGTATTTTAGCCTATGCTAGTAACGAACCATGTTGTGCCATGTGTTACGTGTCTGGGATTATTATAAAGGGGATTGGAAAGACTGTGTTTTCCTGGAGGACCATGAGCAGAGTCATGTTGCATATGCAATATGTGGAAAGTATTCTTTTAAAAATTTTAAATGGCAATGAAAGTGAGAGAATCAGTCACTTGAGAGATTTGTGGAGGTAGCAACAGAACAAAACTGAGAAAAAAATTCAAAATAATATCTTTGTATTGCATGTTTGTTCCAATCAAATTTTGCATAAGGGATAACTTCTGTACATCAGTAGTTTCACAGGTGTCTAAAATGCTGACTGCAGAATAGCTGCCTTGCTTTTACATGAACCCAAGTAATCACAGTACTTCTGATGTTGTCAATTCCGTCTCTATATTAAGTCATTAATAATTCATAGCTGTTTTCATGAGACTGTGATTTCTGTTGGGTGCTACTTGTGATTTTCACTTTTGCTGAATTAGTCATGTCCTGATTAACTATTCAAATTCTGATGATTTTCATCAATAGAAATAATCTATGTTTGAGTGTTGACAATTATTCTTTAAACTATAATCAATGTTTCAGCTTAGATTTCAATCTGGTATTTTGGTGCTACCAGGGAAAATCAGCGATCCAAAGAACTGACTGTTGGAAATATTAATGTTTGTGTGGACCTTCCTATTGAATAACTACACGTTACAGAATATGAAAGGAACAAAACGTAAGAAACAAGAAGCCAAACAAGTTCCTGCTATATATAACATGCTGTACAGTAATTTCAAAATCAAATAAGAATGAAGATTGTTAACACTGCCTCAGCTAATGTTTCACAGCTCTACAGAGCAGTGACACACACCTTTACGTTCTTCCAAACATAATCACAAGAGGGATAGCACTTCAGTGTTTAATATAAGTCCATTTTAAAGTAATACAGTCGTCCAAGTTTTTAGGTTGACACAGAATTCATGGCTAAGAATTATTCATAAGCTATAAGACAGTATCTCTTTTTCCCTCCTGTCTTTCTTACCTGATACAGCTGCCTTTGAGAATATGAGAATATTAATTATTCTACTTTTAAAAATCCCAGCAAAAGAGAGAGATATTTCTGTGCTCCATTTTAAATGTCAGACAGTAATGGCAGTGTCAAAGCACAGCAGAGATGCTACCAACAGGGTGATTCTATCAGCATGGAAAGGCATGGCATGTACCCCCCTGACCCTGATCATTTGTCCTTAACAGCAGGGATCATTTCTGCCACTGCAGGGTGAAGTAGAAGAGGACTGATGAGGTTAAAACTAAGCTGAGTTTTCTTTGCTGGTTTAATTTTAACCTGAGTTATTTTTTGATCCAATTTATTGTAGGATTTCTGAACATTTGTGCTGGCATGAAGAAGGGGACACCTGAGGATTAAGAATAAATACCAAAAGGAGAAGCAGACTTCTCTTCCCACCTCCCCAGTCCCCTTTTAGCAACAGTGCTGGTTTAAAATGCTCATGAAGCTATGGTGTTGTTCTCTGTCCTCCTGCGGTCTGTTTCATAGGTGAGAAGATAAATCTTGGGTACCTCCTTGTTCTCAGTTGTTCTCAGTTTGGACTCATCCAGACTATTGTTATTCATTCGAAATACTAGTTTGGTGTATGAAACAGCCTTTTAAAATGTGTGTTAATTAAACCCATGGTGGTGGGGAAAGCAAACAATGGCAATGTTGGATATATAGTTTCTTCTGTGTATAGCATTTTAACTGTGATAACATGTCCCAGTAGAAGAAGAAGTGGTATGTGGGGGATATCTACCAATTACCTACATTTTATCCTTGCAGAATATGACACTGAGTATCAACCAACTCAACTTGGGAATTTCACTCTTGTCAACAGCAACATGATTCAGGCCAGGTCCAGGTCCAGAACTCTGAAGTTTGCCTCAAAGGCATCTGAGGTTGTGATTGGTCTTGTTGTCAGAAAGCTTTTGGTCAGGTATTTTGAGAATAATGGCCAATAATAACAAATATTATAATTTTTTTTTCTTTTTCTTTTTAAATTAATAGATTATTGCCCAACAGAATTCACTGAACAGAGCAATTCTGAGTCAACCTATGATGGATACTGTAGGAAGAACTTGAAGCAAGGCTTCATCACAGGCTCACAAATAGAGACTTAATTTTATCATGGATCTTTTGCACTTGGTCCTTTTTCTGTTTTATTTTTTTTTAACACGGTGTATAATTTCTCCTGGCACTGGGGAGAACCAAGATGTTGAGAGTTGCCTTTTAGGGTGGCTCAGCCATGTTGTCTTCAACGCGGAAGATTTTGGCTGAGCATTGAATATATCTTTGTTTAATCAGGTTATGTCACGAGGACACAGTCTTACTAATAGCTAGTAGCTCTGTAGTGGTTTTGGGTAGAACCCGATTCCCATGTAAAAGATGTTCTCTTTGTGTTCACACTGCTGTGAAGAAGTAAGCATGAAGCCACTGCCAGCCTGCAGGTTTTGGAAAGGCAGGCCAGCTGCTACGCTTAAGAGAAAGATCCCTAAGTGAACACTTCTGAGCTAATTTTCCTGCCATGTGGATGGGCCTTAAAGCTCTTGTGCCTTGTATGGCTCCCACCACCTGTTCCATCAGCTCTTCTGACAGATTCCTGCAGCCAGCACTGGGCAGACACAATGGCCCAAAGCCTTTTCTAGGAAGGCTGAAGTCTGCTCATAAAGCAAAGGCAGATGAGATGTATTTACCAAGAGCTGGCTGAATTTAGGCTACCTGCAAAAGAACTGTCAATGTGGAGAGCTGCCAAAGTTCCTGGCAACATTTAAATCAGCAAGATATAGATATAGCACTGAATAGTTTTGAAATCAGCATTTAAAGAAAAACATGGTCTGCATGGGGTATGTTTTCCACCTCTAATCTATGCAGTTATGCATAGAAAGTGTGGTTCTCCTCATTCATCAGCTTTGTGCACTGTATCTTTATTAGCCTCAGTGAGGCTGTAATAGCGACAATAGAGCATATATTCTCTGCTGAACTGTGCACGCTTTGTAAGGTGAGTGAATTTGTCTGCACCGAGATCAGCTCCTGCTTCCCCTTTTTCATTTGCTTTGATTCATCTTTCTTGCCAAAGAAATCTTGAGGCAGATTTTTTCCAGCTGCTCCTGCAAGAGTGGGGAAGTACGTATTGAAGTGATGTGAAGCATTCTGTCCTCCATACATCACAGCCAGCCTGTTCCTAAGTGGGAATTGTGCCTAGCTGAATTTTAATCCATATCATTCCTGAGACATGTTACACAGCACATACTGCAGTAGCTCCTCTGTACACTCTTTATGCTGAGCTTCTTCCTGTGAGAAAGGATTTATGAGCAAATTTGTGCTTTGTTAACATGTGATATAATGTATTAGTGTTCTGATTATGACATTATTGTTTTACGTGCTGTAGATGAACATGCAGGGGATGTCTTTGACACAGGGTAAGAAAATGAGTGTTACTGTCCAAAGTGTGAGACAAGACTGCAGTAACACTAGTAAAAAGAAAGGTCAACACAACCTTAATATGTATGGTAGGCAGTGATACTGCACTATTACAGAACTGTTTAGGTTTGAAAGCACCTTTTGAGATAAACTACTTCAAACCAAATTATTCTTTGTACAATAATATGCAATGGGTAAGGAAATAGTTCTCCTTTGAAATCTCCCTAATTTTCTGTGTGTTTATAATGCCCATGAAGAGAGTATTATTAAAATATTTTCCCTAAATATGAAAGCTCCTGCTGCCAGGAGCTGTTAATTCCCCCAGGGAGGCTGCAGTGGGGATGGGAGTGCTGCTAGTATGTGAAGCAGTCTGGACCCTTCCTCCTCATGCTATAGCACCTCTGTATCTCTGGCTGGAGCTGTAGTCCTGTGCCTCTACAGAAGCTCAGTGCTGCTGCAGGTCTGGGGAAGAAGGTGGACATGGACTCCTAAATAAGGCACCACGTGAGAACAAGATGAAGTGGACAGCAGTGAACCACTGCACTAAGCATGCACCTGTGTTTCTGACGTTCTTAACTGCCTAAAGCATTTCTGAAAATTGGCTTTTGGCCACTAGAACCTGTGCAGCTAAGTGTAGATATCTTGCAGTATCTAACAGTAGGCAGAAGTAGACAATCCAGCCTCCACAAATAAGGTCTCTGGACTTCACATGAAGCCCTTTCAGGAAGGCAGAGCCATTCAAAACACACAGTCACTTAGAACAAATCAAAAGCAAAATGTAGTTGAAGGCATGTGCCTGGAATTTGCATCCTGCCTTTAGATACTTCCACCTAATCATTAGATCTGGTTTTATTCCTAATCAAAAATATATGGAATGAGCTGTCTATTTTTTAGTAGAAGCCATGTCATTGCAACTGTGATGACTAAGGATGCAAGTGAAGTAAGGCTTGGAAAGAGAGGTTATTTCTTCCATCAGCCTAATTCAAACTGCTGGAAAGTCAGACTTCTCTTTGTGCTTGTTGTTGTTTGTTTTGTTCTGTTTTTCTTGTTTGGGTTTTATTGTTAGGTTTTGTGATGTTTGGGGTTTTTTTTCTTAATCTGGGTTCTGTTTTCTGGTAATAATTAATTCATCTGCAGAGCTGAAGTTTCTTTCTGTACTTATCCACTCATTCAGATTACATTTGCCGTGTCTGGCAGCCTTGCTGCAGTTGCCCAGAAAAACTGTGCCATCTGTTTTATTGACTGGGACTTGATTTCTCTTAGTTTAGGAGTCATAGAAGATTTCACATGTTCAGATGATTGCATATACAGCAATACAGCTGCCTTTAAAAAAAATAAAAAGTTATCTGCTTTACTTGTACTTTGCATTCAGAAGTGGATTGTCCAGGTTTGGAAATGTTTTTTCTTTAATTGTCCCTTCTTCCAACATTTTTCCCAGGCTAGCAACTATCAACCTCTGCTGCTTAGCTGCAAAAGCCTGTGACTGCCTCTTTTGTGTAGCAATTCACTGTTCTGCAGTGCTCTTCTCTTCTTCCTCCTTTTCTACCTTCTTGTTGGCTGTGACTGCCGATGTCAGCTTTATGTGAAACCACATTTTGTGGGTCAGCCTTCACCTTTGTATCATTAACAGCACAAAATTGTCCTGACACCTGACTGATAATTCCAGTCAAATAATGTACAAAAATATTAGCTAAGAAGATTCCTTATATAAAAATTCCTCAAGGAACCCCAAACCTGGACAGCAAACAAACGTAATTCATTACATTCATCTATGTTGATTAGTATGCATTAGGGTTTTTTGTCATTTTTACCTATAGGTTTGTTGTATATAGCAAAGAGTTGCTCCATGCACATAGCTGCAAGAGGCGTAGTGAAGCAGTGTGCAAGCATAGAGGAGGGTCTTGAACTGTTACATGTATGGTTTTAATTAACCAATGATTTTATTTTACTCTGAGCACCCTATATGAAGAAATGAAGGGGAAGTTCAGGTTAGATATAAGGAAGAAGTTCTTTACTGTGATGGTGATGAGGCACTGGAATCGGTTGCCCAGGGAAGATGTAAATTCTCCATCCCTGGCAGTGTTCAAGGCCAGGAGTCTTGGGCAACATGGTTTAGTGTGAGGTGTCTGTGCCCATGGCAGGGGGGTTGGAACCTGGTGATCTTAAGGTCCTTTCCAACCCTAACTGTTCTACGATTCTATGATGACTGTAGAAGAGACGTGGCCTGTGATTAGCAGCAGGTCTGTAGAAACTTCAAGGGAAATACACATAAATGATTTGCAAGACCAACATGAAAATTTTACTATAATGTAAATGGGAGAAGTATGGGAAGACACTTAATATCAATAGCATTGTTGCTTGAGTAGGCCTGTGTTCTGCTCAGTAAAGAGTCAGATATCTGCGGTAAGGTGGGCAAACATTTAATCACTGGAGTAGGTGCTGCAATGGCAGACAGCTCTGTCAGTTTTAACTTGCAGGAAGGTGGTTTAGCTCTCAAGGGTCTGGCAAGTGCCTGGTTGGGAGATCCATGCTAAGGAACTGGGAGTCATAGAATCATTTAGGTTAGGAAAGACCCTTAAGATCATAGAGCCTGACTGCTCACCTTGCACTGCCAATGCCACCACTAAACTACATTCCTAAGAACCACATCTACATGTCTTTTAGATACCTCTAGAAATGGTGACTCAGCCACTTCCCTGGGCAGCCTGTTCCAATGTCTGGCAACCCTTTTGGTGAAGAAATGTTTCCTAATATCCAGTCTAAGCCTCCCCTTGTGCAGCTTGTGGCCATTTTTTCTTGTCCTATCACTTGTTATTTAGGAGAGGAGACCAACACCTACCTCGCTCCATCCTCCTTTCAGGTAGTTGTAGAGACTGATAAGGTCCCCATAAAGCCTCCTTTTCTCCAGACTAAACAACCGCAGTTCCCTCAGCCATGCCCTGCTTAGACTCCCATTTGTAGTACTTACCCATTCATTTTTTCACAAGTGCAGATCAAATTATACCTTTATAGGATATAGCAAGTTAAATTTACACACCAGCTCAGCACTTCTTAATATCTGTTATTTTCCAAATGTCAATAATACTTGCTCTAACAGTATACTGATGTCAAAGCACTGCCATGCACAGGCACTTGCTGAGTTGTAGAAGGAGCTGATGCAGATTCATTTCCTCTCCTCCCAAATAAACTTAGCTTTTTCAAGTAGCTGAAAACAGTCCATTTGACCCCTCCCAGCACCTCTAATTAATCTGGCATGTATCATAACCTACTCTAAAATGATCAGAGTTATTTGGCACCTTTTGGTTTTCAGGTTCGTAAGTATTGTGTTTGTGAAAACTAGGGGAGTCGTGACAGGTTTCTCAGTGCTTGAATGAAAGCTCTTTTTTCAAGCTCTAAATTTGACTCTCAGAAACAGAAGAACACTTCAGTGTTGTGAACTGGAGCAGAATATGAAGGCAAAAGCAGAACTTGTTTGTTACAGACTTTCTCATGCAAGTACTTCCCGCTATTATTTTATTGCTGTATCTAATGCCACATGGGACAAATTCTTTACTGATTTTCTAAAATCTTTCTCAAGCTTTGAGATTCTATTTCTTTTGTAAGAAAATTTATGGTTCTCAGATTTTATTGGTTGTTGCTTTGGTTTTTCTTAATTAAAAACCAGTTTTGCATTCTGACTTTTTGGCATTTGTATTCTGTCATCCAATTGTCTTTTATTCCCTCCCCTTTGTTTTTCAATTTTACAAAGCAATTAAAAAAAAGCTAATAATGAGAGTATATTAATTCCAGTCTTTTCCAAAAAGCAGATTTGGAAATTTCTTCCTTGTTGTTATTCCAAACCCACGATGGCCTTTTTTTCATAAAGCTTGTGTTGCTGTTCTGCTTTTTTAAGTCTTTCTCTTTGGCAAAGAGCATTTTTCTGCTCTTTATGAATTGTGAATTGCTTTTTTGTTCTCAGAAGAAAAGTAAAGAAAATAATGAATTGAGACTGAGTATTAGTTATACCCCATGGAGCCTGTCAGAAGTGCAAAAACAGGTTACCGCGTGCTGAATAAAAGATCACTGAAGACTATTCCCTTAACATTCTAAGCTAAGGCTGCTCCATCTGCAAACATTTGTTTTGCTGAAGGAGTATCTAAAAGGTTGTCAGGGCACATAGAAGGTTAAAATTTAAACAGAGACAGGACTACCTAGAAACAGTCATTCCAAGTTTGCAAGTAGTTTTGAGGGCTAAGAGAAAGCTTTGAGTAAAATGCTTGGGGTGCCCCATGGATTCTCTGTGAAACTCTAGATTACTTTTGAATTCATTAATGAGACAGTTTCTGTTTACAGCAATAGAGCTAAAGCTATGGTCCTGTCTTTGGAGAGAAAAAAAGAAAGAAAGAAAAGGAAAGCAAATGATGCACCTTGTGGTGCCTCAAGGGACAGTTTTGCAATCACGCTGAGCCTAACTGATGAACATGTTGTGCCTGTGCTAAATCCTCAAAGATTTCACAGCACGTCAGCAGATATGCTACTATTCACAGTTCAGTTTGATATTATTTAGTTTGTGTCAGCGCTATGGAACTGTGGTAAAACAACATGTGATTTCATTCCAGCCAGTTCCCCCATAAAAATCATCCATCAGCCCATGGTATTATACATGGAGGCACACCTGTGTGGCTGGGTTGGATTAGATGAACAGTAGCATCAGGTTTAAATAACAAGGAGAACAGTTTAATGGAGACTGATTTAAAACATGGAGCTTTGTCATTATGGGGAAGGAAAGAAGCAGCGAGAGATGCTGTGATTTCAGCTTCTTCAGTAACTCTTGTTTACAAATGAGAAGAAATAGGAGAATCCAGCCTAAGGTAATAATGCTTGGCATTTGTTTTTCTTGTTTGATGTACAAATGTTTGTATTAGATTATGGCATACCTGTTGTGAGGAATGGAAAATAACTATTAGAAAACAGAAGAAAGACAGTTTGATCAGTTCTACCATTTACCATCAATTTCATATGATATCGGACTAGTCATTATTTAAATTTGTTAAAGTGGAATTAAGATGACAATTTTTAATGAATGCATTAACATTATTAATGCTACAAAGTTAAACACAGGAGTATCTTGTAGGTTTTTGCATAAATGGTAAGCAAATAATTAGTTTGTAGAATCTCAGAGTACCTAGGGTTCTGCAACAGATTTCAGATTGACCTTTAGGCTTACGTGAGAGGATTTTTGGTTTATTAAAAATATACGTATATTGTAAACTATGTAGATTGTATACTGTATGTATATTGTAATATGTATGTTGTAGAATGTGTATATTGTGGGTCTATTTTTTATATAGAAATCCCAGTGAGTTGTATTAACCTGAAATCAAAAGTTCTGCCTTTTTAAAAACGTGTGTTTCTCAGTTTAAAACTAACATTGGGTTGTTTTGTTTAAACTGACCTTCTACAGGAAAATCGATTTGAGGTGCTATTGATTTTACATTAGAATAACCCCTCTGAAAGTAATATAGTTGTGAAAAGATGCCCCTGGTTTTCTTCCCCAAGAGGTCCCTATTTAAGAAGTATATCTGAATGCATATGTGAATGTCTGATGTCAGTAATATTTGAGAAGGTATTTGGTAAGTGTGGTTCTGAACTATACAATGACTGAGACACCTTGATTCTTCTGGACTAACTTCTCCAGCTTCCACTCCCAGTCATTCACAGAGGTGACACAGGCATTTCCCAAGATTGGTAGAAACAGCTGGAGCTCTTGAAAGGAAGATCTTGCAGGCTTTCAGGGCTTGACAGGAAAGCTAAAAGTTTTCTTCTGTCATGATAATGATCTAATTTGATTATCATTTTTGTTTTGCCTATGACTTTTCAACGTATCTGTGTTTCATCTGTGCCCCCACTCAATTTAAATCAGCTTGTCTGGTCTTTATCCAATTCCTGCCTCTCATGTGATTCCTCTTTAGTTTGTGAGTCCAGGAGTAACCGTATTTTCTGTTCATGGAATAGTCCTAAGAACAGATTGATGCTTTAGAAAAAACTGTTTGAGCACTGATTTCTAGGCTGTCCTTTGTTTGCCTAGTCAGTTTCCTAGAAATGATGATGTTGCTAGGGTCCCGATGACTTTGTACAATCAAAGAACTGTTTGGAAAATCCCCATGTACTCAAATTCTGTTTGAATTCACTTGTGGACCTTTGCTCAGACACTAGGAATTATCTCTCAAGGTTGTAATAATTACATCCTTAGCTATATAATGCCTTAATTTCCTCTTATGTAAAATTGCATTTGTATTTCTTATCTAGCTTTTGAGCTCTTTTAGAACTGAACAGCATGATTAACTTTGGGTGGGGTTTTTTTTTTGTTATTTGCTAGGAAAAAGAGCAGATCCATGGTAGGAATTAATAAACTTTAAAGAGCCAGTATCCTAGCAAGTAATTCCAATGTCAGAAACTTGACTTTATTATACCCCAAGCTTTTGCACTCTTCTGTGGAAGACACACACAAAAGAAGACACATTTCTTTTGTGTGTCATAGACACAGAAACTAATTGGCTTTTCCATTTCCGGTAGACTTGGGATAATTGGTTCAGCTGATAGAATCTTTGCCCAAGTAAATGTATGCAAAACTTTAAATCAGCCATTCCCTTTGCACTGGTTTTGCAGCAGTCTTATTTTTATTACAGCAAATAGAGCAGGAGCAATGTAAAACATTTTCTGGCAATTCCACTCACATTATACTTTAGGGATTTTAGACACCTTCCCTGCTTCAGCCTGCAGTGGCAGCATTTGACTTTCTCCATGCCACTGGTCAAGCCTGTACATATGCCACAGCATAGGGCTGGAGACAGTGTTCAGTTCATTGTTCTTCCGTATCTTTTATCCTTGCTCAGATCAGGAGTGCTGAAGTGCAGGAGGAGCTCAGTAAACAGCACAAAGAGCAGAATTAGTCTAATCTAATTTTAGGGATGTAAAAATTTGGGATAGTTAGTCTACATTATATGCATAAGCTTGTTCTCAACCCAAGCCAATAAAAAACCAGGAACACTTTCGCAGGGAAATTCATTTACCTTGAATATTTAGGCTAAGATGAAACAAAACCTCTACTCACTGCAGAATGCCTGATCCTTTACAGGAGAAGTTCTTTAATTTCCTGTACACCTAATACAATAGGACAAGGGGTAATGGGTTAAAACTTAAAGAGGGGAAGTTTAGATTGGTTATAAGGAGGAAATTCTTTCCTGTTAGGGTGGTGAGGCACTGGAATAGGTTGCCCAGGGAGGTTGTGAATGCTCCATCCCTGGCAGTGTTCAAGGCCAGGTTGGACGAGGCCTTGGGTGATATGGTTTAGAGCGAGGTGTCCCTGCCCATGGCAGGGGGGTTGGAGCTTGATGATCTTAAGGTCCTTTCCAACCCTAACTATTCTATGATTCTATGATTCTAATACTATTCTACCTCACAGAGGTGTTGGCAAACTTAACAAATTTGTAGTTAAGTCTTTGTCTGTGTGATCACAGCTAGTGATTGCATCATTGAGGAATTTATCTACCGTTGGATTTACCTCCTTTAATTAAATGTATTTCAGAAACAGGTATTAAAAAGAAATAGAGTTACAAAGTCCATAAATATTTTCATCAAACTTAACAAAACTTTTTTGTATTTTATACCTGAAACATTTTATGCACTGCTTTTTATTTCAGTGTACCGTGACTGAAGCTTAGTAATAATCCTGAGAGGTTTCTCTTGCTTTGAAAGTATTGCTTAGAAGTGCAGGAGAAAACCTTATACAGTTTCTTGTGTTGTCAAAAATGAGTTGGTCTTCTTCAGGTATGAGGAAAGAATCACCCTGAAGATGATTTTTATTCCTGCATGACATAACACAGCAAATTTGAATGTTCTTACAAGAAAGTAATAAAATAAAATGAGAATAGAAAGCATTACAAAGAACGGAAATAAATAAAATAAAGTACAGGGCATTATTCTTAATGGGGCATAGTTGAGTCCTTTGGATTTGTCTTTTACTCCTTTCTATGTAGACTATCCTGGGAATGCTAACAGTTTTTCAACAGAGTCAAAACCTGTGTAAAGGTGTATTACAAATCCTCTAATTAAAAGAATCCCTGCACTGCAACAAGCCAAGGGAACGCAGTGTGCCGCTTTCTGCTACATTCCCACCTCATATACCTAGCACAGCTGGTTGAAAGATGAGCACTGACTGTTATTAGCAAACACCAGTAGTGACTGCGGTGGTGCTTCATCTATGTAGTACATAAATGTGATCTCAACAGCAGACTGCACTGAGAATTTCTACTATCACAGACCTATATTTTCACAGAATATATGCCACACACTATATTAATTAATTCCCTTCCTGTGAACCTTAGTGAAAATTGCTCTGAAGTGCTTAATATACCTGTGGGAGAGAAGAGTTGAGTGTAACTAGCTGTATGTGCTCACACGTGATGGTTTGTCTGTATACGTTTGTGTGGGAGTGGTTTAACTAAATAGAATTGATGTGTGTTTGTACTGTTTGTGTTCCAGCACATGGCATCTCCATGCATTGCCAGGGCTAAACCTGCCCTGCTGGTGTGACAGTCTGGTGTTTTGGCCAGTGAATGAGAAGTTTCTCTTGTATGGGAGCACTAATACAAGAGAGTTGCCAACAAAGCCTGGAAGAATGGAAAAGTGGGAGTGACGGAAATGGGAGCGATGTGCCTTTTAATAGGTGTACCTCAGCAATTATATTAGGTGAGGGCATTGCTGGAGCACCATGAATACAAAAGAACAGCTGTTTGTCCTTTGACTACACTGTGAAAAGTGGTGCTCATTTGAGGCACATCCGTAAAAGTGGCAGCCTTCTAGAACAGAGTCTGTGGGTGAGAATGTACTTCTTTGGAAACCCTGGTTTCTGAGTGGAAGTAGGACTATTCTGGTTGTCAACAGATTTAAGACCAGCAGGGAACATGCCATTCCTTGGCTGTATGAAGGAGGAGAGCAAATTGTATTTTCGGGTTTAGATACTCCCCTAAGATAGTGGGGGGGTTTAGGGATGCCTCCGTAAGTGCTCCATCACACATACAACACCCATAAGAGGAATAGGAAAGACAGGATGGCAGCTAAGCTCTGTTTCAGTACCTACACCAAAATGAAAGCTTGTTTATCTCACAGGGCAGAGCAGCTCTGCACTGATGCCAACAAGAACCACTGACCAAGGTTCCATAATTTGGTCCTCAGTAAATGACACATAATGTCCAATGAGAAATAAACCCTTGAGGTATTAATTTCGTTTCCCAGGTTGGCTGTCTTGGTGAATAGATTTAGCTCACTGTATAGCAAGGTTGCTGCGACAAATTTTGAAGAGATACAAGTTCAAGTGTTTTCTGGTTTCACAAGCACATGAGCTCAGTGAGAAAGAACAGACTGAGACGGCAAGGAGAACAGCCAATCCTGTTATATTTGTCTTTCTTATTACTGACTTGCCATGATAAATATGGAAAATTATATTTGGCTAGAAGGAGGCTGAGAAGGGAACAGATGGCCACCAAAAGAATACTAGAGCAGCTAATAGTCACTGGCATATTTCCGGGATAAAAATTTAAATCTGAAGCCAAGCAGAAGCACTATCCATTTTTCTCTGATCAGGGTACTGTATGAAACTGATCTTGCTATGCTCTGACTAGATGAAGGTGGGCTTCCTGAAATGCATTCGCCGAATGGAATAAACAACATCTATCCTGCAGTTAACGGCTCTTGCAGTTATGCTGACAGAAATAGTTGACAAGGTGGGAAAAGTGTTTATGTTCCTTCTGTATTTTGAGTGTGTGAGAGTGCGTTTGGTATGGCTTTTTAATATATTGCACGAACTAACACCTACATTGCATTCTCTCTATGTAGTCTACAGTCTTGATTCAGTTTTGAATACAAAGAGATGACAGTGCCCATTTAAATGAGGAGACAATGGAGTCTATATTTTACATAGTTGTGCATTTAATGATTTATAAAATTTTAATGTGTTTCTGATTTCTGTGGTCAAGTGGGTACTGAAAAAAATGGCTAGTATTTTGGGAATTATGAAAATGTGTCACAGTTTCTGATTTTGCAGAATGCTGTATGCTCGGCTGTAAAACTCCTTCTGACTGCAGACTAGGTAGTAAATAATGACATCATTCTATTTCTTGAGTGACTGTTAGAATTAGCAAGGTAATACGTGATTTGAAGGGCTGGAATAGTAGGAGATGAGAGCTTGGGATTGAAGTGCAATATTGCAGCTGTAGGACAGGTTGAATGCTATAGGAGTAGGACAGCCAGGAGTGAAATGCACTGGGATAGTAACAGTTGATGCAGCTTTAATTCAAAGTGCATCTACAAGAGTTAAACCAGTCATAACAGCTCAACTGTAGATCCCATCTTAGATGTACAGGATTATGCTAGAGCAGCAGCGGGTGGGTCATTTGAATCAAGACCATTGTCCCTGTCACTGTGTGGACTAACTGGTCAATCCACCCGCTCAGCCACCAGCAGCACTACTGTAAGCACAGATCAGTTTTTCCATGGATAAAATATTATGGCATTCATTTATTTGGGGGAATGTTAGGAGAGTTGATCAGTTATTGTTTTTGAGGTGTTTTGAATATATTTCCCAAAGAGCACTGAAGAACTATAAACCCTTAGTAAGTGGGTTTGGAGAGACAAAAAAATCACAGATTTCCATGATTAAAAAAAGGGCACAACCATGGCCTGATGGACTGATATTTTTGCACTGTAAAAGGAGAAATGTCTGTCCCAGTATCTTGTTAATCTTTGCCCAGTGAAATGGATTCCAAACTCCGGCAGCAAATGTTGGAGCTCACTCAGCCTGTGTCCTTAGCTCTTGCTGAGTTTTTAAAACATCCTGTGAATTGAAGTTTATATTCAGTATATATTTATATTCAGTTTATATTTGGTAATGTAGGCATCACTACATACCTATTCAAAAGTATTGCTGAGAAATAAAATGCCATTTTGGAATGAAGACTGCAGCCTGTACAAGTCTGTGAAGTCCACGGTTTCTTTGGCTTTCAGTGATAACTGCTGCTATCTAAAATCCTGGCTTTATATTGACTTGTAGTTAGAAAAGCACAAAGTGTTTAAGAAACTGTCTTTAAATTGTGTGTATTGTTTTCATGATCTCCCAAAACTGAAAATAAAGATAGCTGAGAATAAAGTGGGGAAAAAGCATACCATGCGCTAAAATTAACAGTCTTATTAAGAGCTAGGTTGATATGTTTAGTACAGTTATGAATGTGGACCCCACACTCACCTCCATAACAAATATGATTCTTTCTTCAAATGCAGGATATGTAGTTTGCATGTGAAGTGTTTGTCTGTAAAAATCCTCTGTCACTGGGCTTTCCATAGATCATCTATGCGAATTCACATTGAAGTGTAGCCAAAGCACAAGTATATTTGGTGCACTGGGCAAAGTATATTCTGCTATATATGTATATTCCTATGTAGGAATGCAGTAGTCCAGTGGTTCCCTTCTGGGGGCATTTGTTGTGGTGGCTCTGGGAACGTATTGGATTTACAACACATACTTCCTTACCCCCTGCCATCAGATCTCCCGTTTCAAAGATGGGAATTACTATGTCCTGCAAAGACAGGTCTTAGTACCTTTCCCTTTCCTAATGTTCTCCTCTGCTCCACAAATATCCATGATCTTTCCTTGCAAGCTGTACTGATTAACATAAGGCTAAACCCAGAGCTGTTGCTTTCAGCTTGCTCTGTATCTGAAGTTTACCGTTTAAGCTTGAAGAATGACTTATTTTTATTATATTATTTTATTATGTTTTTTCTTCTCACAACTTTTCAAATGAAAGCAAAAATACCTATCATGAACACTAACTGCACTAGTTTCTAGTTGGTCTGCCTAGCTTTAGTGGTGTCTTCATGATTGATGGTGAGACAGTTGAACCTGCGTGTCAAAGGGCAGCATTTCCTTCATGTCATCAGTTAGATTTGTACATAGAGTTTTCTCTCCATATTTTCTTAGGATGTATCTTCTAGAGGTCTCTAATCTAACCACATCTCTAGGGATGGAGAGCCCATAGCCTCTCTGAACAGCTATTCCATGTTAAGAGAGCAGCATGTGTCAGAGCCATTGTACGTGTCTTCAGCTTGATGCGCACATTTGTAGCAATGCTGATGTGTCCTGGATATATTGAAATCACCATACATGTATGGATCAGTTTGTATATAAGCATCCCTCACCCACTACAGGTCCTGTAATATATATGCATCTTATTGGCACAGATGCAGCATTGTAATCTGAATTGTCCCTTCTGCTTTCAGGCTCAGTCAGAGGCAATTTCAGTGTGGCTAGGCTGCACCATGGCAGATGTTTTATGGCACCAGCCAGTACAAAATACGTTGAGCATACTCCTCCAGTATTTAGGCATATTTTCAATTGGACTAACTGTAAGTCCATGACAGAGGCTTTTAAAAAGTGATCCTCTGGCACCGATACTGGCACTTTATAGACTAAAAGTCATTGCAAAAAGCAAAGACATCATCAGGTAATGTGCCCATTTAAGACTCTGTGACAAGTACAGGCCATGGAAGCCCTGGCTGTAAAACAGATGAAGAAGAACACCATATGAAGGTAGGCTGAGAAAGTTGGGGCTGTTCAGCCTGGAGAAGAGAAGGCTGTGTGGAGACCTCATAGCAGCCTTCCAGTATCTGAAGGGGGCCTACAAAGATGTTGGGCAGGGACTTCATTAGGGACTGTAGTGATAGGACAAGGGGTAATGGGTTAAAACTTAAACTGGGGAAGTTTAGATTGGCTATAAGGAGGAAATTCTTTCCTGTTAGGGTGCTGAGGCACTGGAATAGGTTGCCCAAGGAGGTTGTGAATGCTCCATCCCTGGCAGTGTTCAAGGCCAGGTTAGACGAGGCCTTGGATGATATGGTTTAGAGCAAGGGGTCCCTGCCCATGGCAGGTGGGTTGGAACTTGATGATCTTAAGGTCCTTTCCAACCCTAACTATTCTATGATTCTATGCTGCTTTATTTAAGAGTTTTTAATCTGCACCTCACATCTGTAGGATAATTTTTGCTGCAGATTTCTTATTTGGAAACCAAAGTTCCTTGCTCCAAGTTCCTCTGCCCCTAGAGAAAATACTGTTGTTCT